ATAATAATAATAATAATAATAATAATAATAATAATAATAATAATAATTAAAATCATTATGGTGACCAGCAATGGAGTTAGTGTGCGAGTGTATTGAAATGGATGTTATAGTTTACCATGATTTGTGACACGCTGTCTGCTTTGATAGTAAACCAAATCATTGAAAGGATGACTTAAATTTGCTTTTTTGTTGTTTTCTTATTTATTGTTAGCTTTTGACTACTGAAATTTGGTTGTTTTTCAATTTTTTAGGTCCATTTTAATTAGGTTGTTTTTAGACGTAACCATTCGTGCTCTAGAGGTAGAGTGTTCGCCTCTCATTCAACAGGTCCCGGAGGGTTCGAAACCTGATACCGACGGAACATTTTTTTCTGTAAAAAAAGAAATCTCCTTTTCCACACCTTTCAAAAGAAATACAAAGCTTAGAGATGGGATCAGAAATAGCTACAGCGATGATAATAAATTATTGTAAAGATCAACCATACCAATGTCGTGTACTCGAAAACGAATACCTACCTTTACAATGAACCACACTTCCACCAACATTGGACTCTCGAAAATATAATAAATCCTTTGATTTTTTTTTTTTATCATCCGTTTCAACAAATTATTATCTCGTACCGATCGAAACGCACAATAAATAGCCTGGGATCTTACGTGACAGTTTGTCTTGCGAGCTGGTCAGAGCGATGAGTCTTTGAGTCTTCGTGCATTTTTCCCCATCAACAAACCAAACTACTCTTGTCTTAGCATCCCCTGATTGGTCCACTCAGGTAGGGGTTGGGAGGGCAATGATTGTGCGTACTATAAATCATTCTTTGCGATAGCAGGTACAGTATGACCTATCAGAAACACGCTGTGTCACTCTGTGGGAAAGCGTCTATATAATATGAAAAATCATTGCCTTCCCTTCTTAATTTTGGAACATCGTCGCAGTCAAATTCACCCATAGACGTGGGCTTCATAAATTAGATTAAATAGACGTTTATAATCACCAGTGGACAGTTTGTTTAATATTCAAAACTGTTTCATTGCCACTTAAATACCCTTTTGGCTCCTTTAGGGCAAATTCATAAGCAGTCACAACCATTGATTATGTTAGCTTAAGGTGAGGCTGAAAGAGTACCCAATGAAGTGAAGAGAACTTGTGCACAACACTCAAAACTGTTTCATTGCTACATAAATACCCTCTTTATCCCTTTCGGGCCAGTCATAAGCAATCACAAGCACTGCTTAAGTAAGTTAGGAATTACACTGGTCGAGTCTACCTCACAAAGGAGAGGGGGGGGGGGCCTCTCTCGTGGCCAAGAGGTTAAGGTGTTCACCTCTCATTCAAAGGTCCCGAGTTCGAATCCGGGTAGTGAACGGAAAACTTTTCTTCTCTAAAATTGTCTCATTTCACCTTCTTTCCTACTCTCTAGCAACGTTCTGTTGTCTGCTTTCGTCTCCTCTTTCTGCCTTTACCCCCTCCTCTGGGCTCCTGGCACTTTCTGCAGCCTTTCTACTGCTACCCCTTGGCTCCTCTTTACAGCTGTCTTTCAGCCACACCCCTGATATTCGGGTAGGAAAGATCTACACCTAGCCTTCTTGGACAAGGGCAAAAATCTCGGAGGGCCTATGTGAAAGTTGCGCATGTTAAAGATCCCTTGATGGTCTAAAATCGATAAGAGTAGGCTTCGGCCGCCACGCGGGCAAAATTCAAAATTTCCCACCAACTGAAAAAGTTTAACGTGTCCCGCGCACTCATATGACCTTATGCAGTTGCGAGCGCCGTAAAACACTTACCAAAATAAAAACAACAAAAAACAAAGGAGAGGGGAACTAACTTCTAATCATCGTATGACTGCTTATTTTTTTTTCCTCGACTTTTTACCGTCCTATAATCAGATCGTAACCTTAATTATGACACCGCCTCCCGGCCGTGAAGGGCTAGACAAAAACAGCCAAATTTGAAATCAACTTGATAATTTTGTAAAGCATTAGATTCTACTTGTAGCATTGTCATCTCTGCTTCTTTACTTTTTGTTTTTGTATTCACGGTTGTAGTTTAATGTAGATCTAGTTTTAGCGGAAACAAATCTTTTCGTAGATACTTTCCAGATCATTTTGGCGATTCAACATACAATTTATTATGAATTCATGATTTGTTTTCATTCACAACTCAAAGATGTCGCCTGGAGTAAGAAGTTTTGTTTATTAATATGTATCTAAAGTGGACAAGATATTCTCGTGTGACATTTCTGTATGGTTCCTTGTCTCACTTTGATTACATTGTCAAACAAGTCAACCTTCGCCCCTGGTGTCACTGTCTGGTCCTCAATAAGAGACCTTTTTACACCTACACCAAGCCCCCC